CATATGAAACTGGAAACTGCATTAATCTAGACTTGATAAATTACACTAATTCACATATTTCATTAATTGAGAATGTTCAGTTCTAAATTTGTAGACATCGAGTATGTCATCTTCTAGTAAGTGATTTTTGCTAAACCAAAGTTTCTGCTTCTTTATAAAGCAGGAGGAAAACAGTACTTTTTAGCCATGCATGTTATTATAGGAGCTCAATAAACGTCAGTTAAACCTAAAGTCAATTTAGGCAGTACTGATCATTGATCAGGATAAGTGTTCTTCCTTTACATTCCTCCTTCCTGCCAGCCCACACTGTGTATGTATCTTTATGATTATTCCATTTACTAAACTGAGGCTAATAAGCAATTTTAATGCCTGCTAGACCAAACTCCTTGAGGACAACAAATGGGTGTTGCCCCCCACTGCTTTGTGCGAGAATATTAGCCTGTCAGAGCACCTGCGCTTTTCCAGGAAAAACCCAAAAAACCAAACCTGCTACCATGGAATCCGTTCTGATTCACCGCAACCTCATCGAGTTTCCAAGCCTCTAAGTCTGTACTGAAGCAGACAGCCTCATCGCTCTCCTGCAGAGCGGCTGGTGGGTTCAAACCAATTTGGTTATTTCTCTTTTCTGAAGACCAATACAGTGCACTTGCGAAAATAATTACCAAATAATCTTATCACTAAGTTCCAGAATGAGTAGCACTTGTCCTATTAAAAACTATTCATGGCAAATATAAAGTAAACCTCAATACGTATCTCTTCAATATTTGCTGAATACTGACAGACTCAAAATCAACACTCAATCATAGAACTTGGAATTGGTGGGAAATCATCCAGAACTAGGCTGCCTGCATCAAACAGGTCACTGCACAGCTCCAACTTAAGAAACGAAGATTTGCAAAAACCCCAACACTTGCTTTACACAAATATATTTGACATGTAGGAACTGAAATCATCATCTCTTTTACATGGGAAAATGTTCCATGGCGATCATTTATAAAATTAGACGGAATGCTTTCCAGTATAGGGTAGGGATTATCACCACATTCTGCACAATGGATCTCCTCTCCCACACCACCACTCCCTAGTACGCCACCATCAGCCCCTGCCTGGACTATTACTTGCCTGTTGTTAAGTGTCATCGAGTGGGACCCGACTCATAGCGACCCCTCCTTGGGTTTCCCAGGCGGTGACACTACCGAAGTAGATTGCCCAACCTTCCTCGCTAGGAGTGGCTGGTGGGTTTGAACTGCCAGCCTTGTACAGATCTCTGGGCTTCCACACTGGCCCTACAGCCCCTCCTCTATGCACTGGCTGTGGCCTTTAACGGAAATGTTCTTTCCTCAGGTCTTTCTGGCCCCTCGATCTTCCAGTTTTAGCTGAAAAAAACCATTCCTCAGGGAGACGTGCCTTGACCAACCCAAATCAAAACCCAAAATTTCCTGTCTACTCCCCAGTCCTATCACCTCATTTTAGTTTTCTTCATCGGCTCATCGCTGGGTTAGAGTAGACGTTTACCATTTGCTGAATGAATTCAAACTCCAATCTACCCCTAACTTAGAAACTGCTTTCCTGGAAAAGCCCTGGCGGTGTCATGGTTGCAGCATTGGGCTGCTAACCAAAAGGTCGGTGGTTTGAACCCACCAGCAGCGGGAGAACGATGAGGCTGTCTGCTCCTGTACAGACTTCGAGCCTTGGAAACCCAATGGGGTCGCTATGAGTCGGAACGGACTCCATGGCAGCGGGTTTGGTTTTTGGGGTTTTCCCTGGAGAAGCGTAGGTGCTCTGACAGGCTAATATTCTCGCACAAAGCGGTGGGGGGAAACACCACACCGATCCACGACCTTACAGTACACGCATCAGAACCCAAAAACTTTTCAATAGCGTACCCGCTTGAGCGACCCTCAACTAACTTTTTCCAATTACTTCTTCCAGAGCTTCCCCATCAGTGAAAGGATTTATCTAGCATTACCCAACGCCATCAGAGATCCAGACAAAATATAACAACAAAACAATCAGAGGCGTGGACGTTTGCTAAGGTAATGGCGGTCAAACAATGTACCAGGTGGATATTTGGGGGGAAATGTTCACGCTTTCCTCTCCGTCACTTGACACCGCTGCCCTCTCCCAGCGAACAAAACGGGCTCCTCCCCTGAGGGGAATGTCTTGCATTTCCCCTGCAGAGGAAAGGTCACCTACAAGCCTCCATCAGGACAGCGCTCCCAAGGGTCTCCTAATCCTCCTCCTTTCTGTTCTATTAGATCAGGGACCGTGGCTAACAGTCCCCAGTCCCCAGCTCCCGGGGGCTCCGGAGGCGGTGGAGCGGGTGGAATGCCCAGTCAAGGACAAGAGGAGAATAAGGCAAGGAGCCGAAGAAAACAGCCCCGTGAGGAAACGAACCAGTGGTCAAGGCGATTCAGCCTAACCACGCAAACGCTATCTCACCTTTTCTCGAGAGCCGCCAAGATTGTTGTGATGAATGGGTGGACCACACCGACCTCCTCAAAAGCCGGGTCATTTATTCAATATGGCGGCCTCGGCTAATTCCGTCAGCAGGACTTGGTGAACGGAAAGTCGGGCGGGACTAAAAACTTCAGATGCGACAAATTCCCGCTTATATTGAGTTCGGCAATTTCCGTCATCCCTAAAGGGGCGGGACGGAGGGCGGATTCACGAGGAGGAGGCGGGGGCTGGGAGGACTCCTTGAATCCGCAGTTCCGCCGGAAGAGGCCGGGTGGCCCCAAATCCGGGAGAGTTTGGTCATCTCCGGCGCCTTAAGGGGCGGTTCCCATCGTTCTTGGGAGCCGTAGAGGTACAAATTTCGGAAATGACCCTTTTATTAATTAATTTTCGAGCACAAGAGAAACCTGCGGATAATTTGTTGGCCATTTAATCCAGAGCCCCCATTTTTACGTTGAGGAATGAGAGCGGTAATGTACTTTGACCTTTAACCTTCCGCCGGGGGAGGCGAAGGGAAACGCCTCCGTCTCTATATAAGGAATTTTCCGGCCCTTCGTGGCCTTTTTCCTTCCCCCCACTCGTAGCGCTTGGCGTCGATCGCCCGCGCTCTTCTTTTTCTCCGTCGCCATCCAGCTCTCTATACAGCCGGCACTATGGGTTTCGGAGACCTGAAAACTCCCGCTGGCCTCCAGGTGCTCAACGATTACCTGGCCGACAAAAGCTACATCGAGGGGTGAGCGAACGGGCTGAGACCGGACAGCTAGGGCGAGTGTCCTGGCTGGGTCCCGCCAGGGCCACGTGGCTCAGGGCGCATAGGGATGGAGGCCCGGGTCTCTCGAAGGGAGGCGGAAAACGCAGATTTCTGCCCCCCCCCCCCCAGGCCGCCGTGCTATGTGAGCCCGGCCTCGGGGAAGGGGATTGCGAGGGGGAGGGCATCTAAAAATTTGCCTTTCTAACTCCTTCGCTAGAGTCAACAATATTTCCATGTTTATGCGCATTTAATAAATGTTAGCCTGTGGATGGAGCTGTCGTCAGAGATTACAGTCTTTGAGTTCCTACTAAGTGTCAGGCATTGCTCGGGATGGCGCGGTGACCCAAACAGATGGTTTCTAATGTAAAGAAGCTTATTAAAAATTTCAAGTGTCTAGGTAGCCCAGTAACAAATGGCGACTTCCCGCTAATGAGTTGGATGTAACTTTTGTCATTTGTTTGCTGGTGTGTGTGGCTTTTCTTTTGAGGGGGTGTGTAATTATTTTTGTCACGGACAGGTATGTGCCATCACAAGCAGATGTGGCAGTATTTGAAGCAGTGTCCAGCCCACCACCTGCCGATTTGTACCACGCTCTACGTTGGTACAATCACATCAAATCTTATGAAAAGGAAAAGGCCAGGTAAAATTTTCTTTATATTTATCTGAAGAATAGAAATTTTTCTAAACTTAAAATCAGTGTTTTCGCATGACAGTTGGACCCAGGCTACTTTAGTTTTGTTGGGATATTTAAGGTTTAATTTATTTGTGACTTTAGAAGGCCAAGAGACTGAAGCCCTCCATTTTTTCACAGAACAGGTAGAACCTGGACAACAGCATTTCAAGTTTTCCCCACACTACCCTGCCAATGTGCCTCCACCTGACCTAGGGGGCCCACCTCTGGGGTGAGAGGGTGGCTCATTCATTCAGTCCTTGGCCATTCTTCTGAAACTACCAACAAGGGTGGAAGTTTGGGGAAGTGGACTCCAGTTCACTAAGAATGGAACTGAGCATACTTAATGAAATCTCAAACAGAAATGTTCATACTGAAAGAGTAAATCATAGTGAGTATTGACTATGTCTCACATGGTGCTAATGTTTGTTGGGTGAGGAGTTGAATGGATGAAAGTATTTACCTGGGAGCGTGCTAAAGGGTAAATTTTTAGGTCAAAATGGGTTGATAAATAGTGATGAAAACAAGTTCTCGGGTATAGTCTAGAGAAGGGCATTATCCTATCCTAATGGTAGTTGAATTTCAATTTTTTTTTTTTTAATCAAGCCTACCAGGCGTGAAGAAAGCTTTGGGCAAATATGGCCCTGCTAATGTGGAAGATACCACAGGAAGTGGAGCTACAGACAGTAAAGATGATGATGACATTGATCTCTTTGGATCTGATGATGAGGAGGTATGACATCTTTATATAAGAACATAAGTTGATAGGCGGTATGGCCTTGTGTTTAAGCACTGGCTTAGTAGCCAAATTATCTTGATTAAAAGTCTGGCTAAACTACTTGCTGCCTTTTAAAAATTCTTACTGGTTACATGATGAATAAAATCAAATCACCATCTTTCGGCTGAGCTCGTGATGGATTTGCTTTTTTCTGATAAAGCTGGTCTGTTCCTTGTGATGATCCCAGTAGCTTTAAGGTGATAAACAACCAGCTTTGTCAATTGTAACATTTTTCTTTACAGGAAAGTGAGGAAGCGAAGAGGCTAAGAGAAGAACGCCTTGCACAGTACGAGTCAAAGAAGGCCAAAAGTAGGTCATTTTATAATTTGTGTTTATTTCACGTAATTAATCTCATAACGGTGATATGAGGCATTTTCTTCTAAGCTTGACTCCGAAATAGTTTTCTCTACATTCATTGAATAGACCAGTTTTTTAAAAACTTTCCTTTCTTATAAAACTTCCACAGCTACTGGTCTGCAGCTGTTTTTATGGTAGCAGTTGTGGCATTCCTCTGTGGAAAAGAAACTGTTACACAATTAAACACCACTTTCTTAGCAAAACAGAAAGTGGGCATATGTGTGACAGACACAAGGTAATTGTTTGGCTATGGAGATGGTCCATTTCTAAGAATTGATGTGTTGTACTAAACAAAAAAAAAAAAAAA